CTTGCGCGCGTTTGCTCCCACGGGGATGTGTTTGCCGAATCGTTGCCTAACAATGGGTCACAGTACGATTTCGGTTTGGGGGGAGGCCTCACGGGACCTCTCTTTCGAGAAATAAATGTCATGTGGTCTCTAAGAGGCCACAGGCTTTATGGAGTACTCTCCTCCACACAATCATAAGAAATCGGTATCATAATTTCGTGTAACAGCAGTTCAAAACGAAGCTACAGCTCATCGAAGAACCTCGGCTGTTTGACTAGGCTTATATCGTGTGCCTTGAAATAACCAGGTGCTGGAATAGTAGTAAGCATTACCACCGGCTGAATTGACCGTTACCTCTACTCGTACAGCGTGTTATTAGCTATCCGAGACGGATAGCTGGCAGCCCAATCTACGCATGACTGTTTCAGCTTAATAGGGTCATGTGTCCGTCATTTGTCCCCTATGCTGTTCATGCATGAAGTCGCAGTGGGAGCGTTAAAATTTACAGCTTCTGTTCGTCGGCTATCGGAATATTGGCTGTGCTGTGCTCCATATATATCTGGAGCACGTTACTGCCTCACATTCTTCACAGTTCCTTTCATTTCTTATAGCAATGTGTGCATCATTTCCGTTTCACTCACTGTATGGTCTTTTCGCGTCACTTCCTATATAGGATCACACTGGAGTTTAAATATTGCCTGCTCTCGGAAATCTCCTTGATAGCTCGGTTCGAAACCGTTCAATATACTTCGTAGATAATCTGAACATAACGTGTCTATTATTAATTACGCATGTGGTTTTGTAGGGGCGTTATATGGTCCGGCGTATATCACTTCGAATGAAGAGCAAACATCATAAGCTATTTCAAGATAATGTTCAAACGAGGGAATATTTTGATCTGAAGGACATTAAGTAACATGAAAAATAAACAATCTTGTAATTAGAAGCTTAACTTATGCTTTTCACATGCTATTATTGAGGCAGTTAATGCATATAGAATGTTGGTGGGAAAGCCAGAAGGAAAGAGACCACTGGGAAGACCTAGGCGTAGGATCTTAAGAGAGATAGGATGGGATGGTATGGATTGGATTGATCTGGCTCAGGATAGGGACCAGTGGAGGGCTCTTGTGAACACGGTAATAAACCTCAGTGTTCGATAAAATCCTGGGAAGTTCTTGAGTAGCTGCAGATTTGGCTTCTCCTGAGGAAGGGCTCAGCTCCATAAGTAAGTAAGTAAGTAATATTGAGGCAGTTCAAAAGAGCTAGTTGAGAAGCGCCGTTCATTTACCACGCATTAAATTGCAGGAACTTAACGTCCAGTATTTAACGTCTGTCAATACTGCAACGCTCTTCCAGTCACCACTCAATTTTTAGTTTAACATTATACACCTTGACACTACATGTTTCGGCCCCAAACGGCCATCTTCAGATGTCTTCATATGTTACAATTATTTTATTAAATTGTGTTAAAACTGCTACACAGTCTTAGTTCGTGTTAAAATCACACGGTGTAGTCCTCTTTTTAAGGTAAAATCCTTTAAAGTCTCTATTATACCCACGTCATTTTGGTGCATTCTATTTCACCTCACACGGGGTGTCGTCCATTGTTCACAAATGCATGTGTGTCCCAGGTGTTTTGTCTCGGCAGCTTGCCCCTCACGTTCGTAGCCTCCTTTTCAGTTATGACTGCCGTATGCCCCTGGTTTGCGTGCTTCCTCCACAGCGTGTGGTAGTAAAGACAACACCACAAGTTCGGCCCCGTCAAGAAAAACGAAAGGACAAGGGACACGAACCAATTCGGTTAAAGAATTTTAACTTAAATAACATTTAAAAAAAAAACTCTTAATGCATCAAGTACAATTGCTGTAGTTGTAATAAATTTGGATTTTGGATCAAGTGTATATTACAAATATTGTATATTTATGTATTTTAAAAATCAAAAAACCCAATGTAAGAGTAGTTTCTAAAAGTATTGATGTTCCCTCTGATGATGGTCTGTAGGGACCGAAAAATGTTAGGGTGCTAAGAACTGAAGTAGTAAAAGCTTCAACAGTCACACTGGACGGAACTGTTTTATCATTTGTAATAATTAAGTTGAACAATTGCAACGGGATGCTGAAATACAGAATCATAAAATACAAGAAACTGTCTTATATTTCGTTATAAACTGTGATATAAGGGAACGATTTGGAAAACTGCAATGTAGACAGGATAAAAAAATACTAATTTCTTATGGAAATAAGCAAGTTACTTTTCCCATCTGAGCAGTTCACTGGGTCACCGTAAAGGCAGACAGAATATGTTGTACCGCTCTTTTGAGAGCCCCTTTCCTTGGTTCGAATCCAAGTCGAATCTAACTCATTTAGAATAAACAACTCTATACTTGTTTTTTACACGTTTTAAGAAGCCAACAGAATTGTGAGGTATTCGTTCTGTCCATTTGAAACAGGACGCGGGCCATAAACGGCTTTAGTTAGGAACTGAAGTTATTTTTCTCGTTCTGGTGTTTATGGCTTGTTATCGATTGCAACCAAATTGTCGCCTTGAAGGATGCTACGCACCACAGAAACAAGGGAATAATAATCATCAGCTTCACGCTACTGTTTTGTCCTTCCTTGAAGTCATCAGAGAGATTCCGAGGGGAAATCATAGCAGACGGCTAGCATGATGCACTTGGATTTACCCGGGTGTTCAGCATACAGTAGTGCTTCGGACCCCCGTGCGCAGTGCAAGTGGTCAGTGGCTCCGGTCTGAAGGAGCACCTAACGTAAAATGTAAAGGTAAAGTTGTCCCTGTGCTTAACTAATTAAGCACTACGCCATAAAGGCGTATGGGGAATAGATGTATAGATCCACATTTTCTTGACCTTGGCACTAGATGGAGGTGAGTGGTCAGCTTCACGCCCCGGTCGCTTTACCCCCGAGGAAAGAGTTCCCGGTACCCGTTGGGTAGAAGGCTGGGTGGACCCCAGAGCCTGCCTGAAGGAGCACCTAGCTTTTCCAAATTACTCGTACGTTGATCACCGCGAGGGAAATCTTTTACGTAAACACTGACCTTTATTTTAAATCAACGAAAACAATTCCAGTCACGACTAACCTGATGTTTCGTAATAACGGCATAGACTTTGAGTCTGAATAATTAATACAGCGGTTCTCATTTATTGTTCAGGGAGATGTACACTAACGGCAAACTGTGATTCTAAGTGTGACTTATTCGTTAACTAATAACCGTATACACTTCACATCCCCACCTCGTTTCCGCTGTTTACACTGCTATCCAGTCCCGTTGGTACGCCCTGAGAACTCGTGCGTACCGATTGGCTAGACTGCAATCTCTAAACCGAATAACCGAACGTTAACTAAGTTGAGGACGGAACGGTTACAATGCAACCTGAGTAACTACTAACATATTTAATGCCTATCTAATTCGAAACGCATGCGCATAACGTTCATTCGCTGTCATAAGACATGCGTACGACGCCGAGGTGTCATTTAAGCTTAGACGGCGGTCATGCTTACTGCTTCTCAAGAATGGGTCCGACCACTTTCTTAAATAAGGAAATATGACCGCTTTCGAAGAAGAAATTATCCGTGCCACATAGTGTGTTCATTAGTCCGTAGAAGGTTAAAGTGAAATAAAAGTACAGGAATACGGTTTTGCGCATGCCTCCTCATCTGGAATGTCGTTGAAGTGCTTTCCATCAGAGCGCCATGCCTTGTCACCCCGCAGAGCACGGACGTACGCGTTTCTGCATCAAGCGCCTAACTCCCGTGTAGTAAAGAGCGACAGTGTCTGTGTGTTTGACAAATAATACGAGAACTTTCAGAAAATAAATCAAATAAATTGTCGGGTTCGTTAAAAAAAATACAAATCACCTCATCCTCGTGCACTATCTAAAAAATTAAACAGTCGATTTTCATTAAATTCTGGAAAGTAGACATGCATGTTCAGCTTAACGGTGTTCCCTGCAGAAAGAAAGGTTTTAACACGTAACCATACAGATGTACGCACATTAAATTTCGGGACGTCACATGCTTGCTCAGAACTTCATATGGTTGTCCTACTCCACAGTTACGACAGTTGTGACGAAGGTTACTACGGGCCGAATGTGTTGTTTGCAAAATGTATTCATCTTTAAAAAAACTTCATGAATTTCACTTAATATTAAATTCGAATATTTTAAACTATTCAGAGGATCAGTGAATTTTATTTCATGGGGGAACTGAATTTTGTAATCATGTAATCACAAGAGTTTACGCAAAACGTTACGGATTATCGGTGGAGTGGTATAATAACAATTCGGTACAGCAATTTGCAAACTTGCTTTTCCATGCACATAAAACCCTTCGAATCCAAAATCCTCTCCCAGAGTTCAAGGTCATTTTGTCTTCATCATTTTTTCTTGAATTGAGTAAATCAGTATGCTTTAACTGGCATCTTCCTGGGCCTTCCGTGCATACGCTCAGAACTGCATGCAAGAATACGCGTAGATGAATTTGGCACACTGTATCACGATCATGCTTTCTTCTGGACAAATTCCATTTAGGCGCACAACATTGTACATTGAGATTCAGTTACGCTTGAAGAGCAAATTATGTGTCTCAAATTAAATTAAATATTAGACTTTAAATGATGTAAGTTCTTCTACGACGGCTCTGCGCATGCGTAACATGAAACGATTCAGGAGGAGACGTATTACAGGTACTGGTGCAGGCAAACTCGCGTGGAAGGATAAGATAGGATCCGAGATTCAAATCCCATACCCTTCGAATACAAGTCAGACGCTTACGTGCTGGGGGTTACCTACTTGTTTGCTGCAATTGTCTTCCGCGTAAATGGAGAGTCTGAGCTGTAACTGAGGCATTCACTGGTCTCCGTGTCGCAGAGTCTGCATGTCCTGTTTTGATGGGTACGTACCATAAATCTTCAGGATACTGACACGACCTGAGCCTTCGGTTTATCTTGTAATGTTCTTTTTAACATTAAAGTTGGAATAGCTCCAGACTGATAAGTCCCTTATCAAAGTACGAGGCAGAACACGACCAGTGGACAGTCAGGCGTCGCTGATGTGAGTGTCAGTGTGTACAGTACTCACCCAGGAATTCAGTTCATCCAACTAAGCTTCAAGGTACATAGATATAACTCATATTCATATCTGCTCTTAAGGCGCGTCCACATTACTCGTGCTCGTGCTCGTGTGACTCACTATGCTCGCGAGTAATGTGAGCGACATGACAAGTCACGAGACAAGAAAATTTTAATTTTTTAATTTTAAAACTATAGCCAATAAATTAAAATACAACTACAGCCTAAAGACACTACGAGTAAATATATGGATCCTCACGCGCCGAAGCCTGGCGAGCAACTGAAGTAGTGTGGACGAAGATTTACGGCCACACGTAAAAGCCAGACAAGTCTCCCGACGAGCACAAGCCTGGCGAGCACGAGCAATGTGGACGCGCCTTAAGGAATGGAGCGAGTCTTAGGCAGCCATTGTTTGTGAGCTGTTATAATTGATTGTAGATGTAACAGAAGTGCCAATAAATCCAATCATCCAGTCCAGAACCCGTTATTATTAGTCACGGAACCCTGGACACGTGACATTACTATTCTTCAATTAACACCTTAGTCTCCCAACATGTCAGCAGGAAGTATTTCACGGGCCTGTTTGTTTCTCTTGTCATCGCGTCCCCTTTGCAACCTATTAGGCACTACCAGCGGTACATGTCTTGCCTATGCAGTAGTAGAACGGAGCTGTGACACGCGACTCTAGGACTTGCTGCCAATACGTAACCGAAGCTGCTGTTTGTGTTTGTTTCAGGCACGAAAATGTTGATAGCTCTTGCTCTCAGTACCGCCGTCCTGACGCTTGCCGGCTGCACATCAGGCGCCGTTTACAGGGAGATACTGCCTGAGAGACAGGGTGAGTCTGAAATATTTACAGTCAACTGCTACTCCTATCTTGCCACGTGTCGACTTGAAAGCAGCTGTAAGTTACTCACTTCCAAATTTTCCTAGAAGCCATATAAGATATGACAGTACTTTGAGGAGCCCAGATACGCTTTCACTGCGTGCAATTTAAAAAATTTTATGCTTAATCTAAATTTCTGGGTAAGTACAAATTTTTGCGAAACGTCTGGGAGACAAGGCAATTTATCCAAGAAGCCGAGAGGGAAAATGTACATGTTAAGAATTAGCATATGCAGAACGACTGCTTGGGCAGTTAGGGCATCCGTATTCACTGTTAGATTAGAAGGAAATAAATACAGAATATGGCCAGATAAATTATCGGACTCATTCCACAGTTTTTTTTATGTATACTTAAGATATTTTCGCCCAATTCCCTATATTTTTTGTCAAGTATAGCGGTAGGGATAACCTCGATTTTCGGCGTTTGGAGGCTTCATGTCCTGAAGCTATTACAAAGCAGTCGCTACATTCAAGGCGAAGTTCGGAGGCTCGCCTGTTATATGCCGAAAGTCATGTGTCTAGGTTCAGTACATTCTGTGCTCCTCATCTTATCACGGCCCTTCCGCCATATCTGGCAGTTGTGCTAGAGCCAAAGCCCTTTTGAATAATCCCCCTGATATCTATCAGCTATGACATTTCACAGTAGAAGCTCTGTACTAGATGGGTACTGAAAGTATACGTGTATATGGCTGGAGGTCCCTGGCCACGATTCTTGCATGTGGCACTTTTCGAACGGCCCATAATGCGTGCCATGGCTATACAGCAACACTGTTACCAGGTTCATAGGCAGTTCGTCCGAAGGCCCTTACGGTAAGCGTAGGACTGAGTAGCTTATGGTATAACAGCCGGGATAATTTAAAAATTTTCCATCCCTCATTAATTTCACATCTCCAACTTCCAAGTAATGCTTCCTCAATAATGCTTATACAAACATCTTAAATCTCTATTTGAGATGGCAGGCAATGGAAGTACTGACTACGGCCGTTTAGGTTAAGACTCCGTGTAGTTTGGTAGCTAGTTACGGACGTTTGAGTTAATTGCTGCCTTCACTTTTAGGGTACCCGGCATTTGGAGGCAGCTGGTATCTCCGCGCCTACTATAAGACCATACGCTGCCAACACAGAACACCGCAGTCTACCTTAAACCGTTACCGCTTCCTCAGCTTGAAAGTTTATGTATTCCTTTGCCCTCATAATCTCATTACGAACATAACACTTTAAATATCTTAGCCATTTCCAGAACAAGACAGTTTACCTTAACAAGTCTGTCTCTATTCTTGAAATCCGGACGGCAACAGGCACAGTTCGATGATCGTCTGTTTCATTCGTTTCGACAGAAGCTCCCGGCAAATGTTTCGTGGAATTAAGCGCGGGGGAGTCGTACTACAAGGAAAACGAGTGTGTGAAATACACCTGCCAGCCATCTTCCCGGGTCGGCTACGTGGAGCTGGTCGGATCAACGTGAGTATAAATAATAAGTGCTTCTAGTTATACGCCTTGAACAGTTCATGGTTACTCGGCTGTTCAGGAAACTGTCCTTCCATAGAATAAGAAGTTTCATTCCATGTTCACAAAACTCCGCCATTCAAACTTACTCTCTGTTACTCGTGGATAAATCAAGTACAGACCTTCACATTTATTTTATCCAAAGATTTCATTGCACGAACTTCGGTAAGAACTAATCGCGTACTTTCGTTTGATAAGACATAGAATGTAGAGAAAACGACGCCTCCAGCAAATCTTAATTTCCGCGGGTGCGGTTAGCGGAGGCGTTGCCTAGCAACGCTAGGTGATTACACAGACTGATGGGAGGGATTTATGAAGTGCACAGTTGAGATGGTCTTATGTGCCATGATATGCATACCAAGTTTCATAAATATCGGTTGAGGCATTCAAAAGTTGATAGGAGTGAATACACACATAGATACAAAGACTATTTTTAATTTTTCAAATTATGAATGTAGGCTAACAAAATTACACTTGGAATCTTAAATTATCTCTTCCAAATATCTGTAACTTTCCTTCTTCCACTTATGTTCTTCTGATTTTCATTTTACACGCAACATTAAGTGGAGAATATAAAGTCTGAATTGCTTGCTACTTAACTTTCTTCATTTCCTTGCTACTTCGTTTTATGTAGTGCGGATTTGTTTTCATAACTTTGTTCTTACACAGTGAATTTTGTTCTTCCCTCAGAGTGACAAAAACATTCACACCATATGAAGCAAGAGACAGACTCACAGCTTTGTATTTCTGAGTTATGTAGAGGAGCATGCAATGTACACATATCATGTGCTGAATGCTAGCAAGCTTCACATTACATAATCTGCTCTTAGTTCCAGTCCAATTTGCCAGTATCTTTCCCAGCCTCATGAACACGGACACAAGGAATGTGTCCGGAGTGTTGCCTACGTTAATTCTGTTGCATACAATTACAGAATTTCACACTAGAATCGTTCCTACCTCAGAAGTTCGTGCATCAACCATGTAATTATTATCTGTTATAGGAAACTGTGGCCGGTAACGGTAGCCGAGCGGTATAAGGCATGTACTGTCTTCGCTCGCTTGGAAACCGGGATCGTGGGTTCGAGTCCCACTCAGGGCATGGATGTTTGTGTGCGTTTTTCTGTTTGTGTACAGGCAGAGGTCTTGCGACGAGCTGATCACCCGCCCAAGGAGTCCTACCGAATGTGTAAGATAGAAAAACCGAAGCGAACGGAGAAGTACACGGAGGTAGGCCTAGGCCCACTGGGGCTGTAGTGTCATGGGAAAAAAAATAGGAAATTGTGAAAGTACGATATTATGGTGGCTCTTAATGGTATAAGGTAGGAGCCAAATTTCGTGACAATGGGCCAACTGCTTCCAAAGCTGGAATGGGGGGGGGAAACACATGGCATGAGAATCCCATAAACCTGCTTTCTTTATTTGTGAAAGGGGAGTAGGCTGAGAACAAAGTTTTGACTCAACTAAATTCTGGTACTAACTTTCTCTTCACACAAAAGTTATACCGCCATGACGCCTTAGTGTACATACCGTACTTAAAATATTATGCCGCAAGGACTTGGGCAGAGCCCTCCGAGGTGGACTTGTAATCAAAATAGGGAAGGATGCAGAAGAAACTCACTCAAGACCATTGCTACATTTCTGTTTCAGGTGTTCGATGAGAATTATAAGCTTCCCTGGTTGCGAGGACAAGCCCGAGAACTTAACACTGAAGTACCCTGAGTGTTGCCCCTCAACCTGCTCCTCGTCACATGAAATGAATCTGTGGTAAATGCAGCCCTCTTGTTACATCGATGTTATAGTGACATTGGGGTATGTCTGTGGTCACAAATATAGGCTATTAAGCAAAGTCTTCCGCATTCAGTCCAGTCTCTAATCCCTTAGGCATTAGTTCATGATGTGTTTGGTAGGATCATCTGTGTTGTGATGCCATGTGCTTCTGTAGAAGTTCAGACTCTTTACTGCTGGAGAGCATTCGTTCCTACGAAAACCCGATGGATTTCTATCGAACTACACGACGTTACAATCCAACACATCCTACTCCTCACAGTAGCCCCTTTGAGTAGCTGAAATCCAACACGTGTTCAGTATTTTTCCAAGTCCTACCTGCTTATAGTATCCTGTTACAGTGACATTTCAACCGCACAAAGGAGATTATATGTGACAGAAATGGAATTGTCATTGATAACTTGTCACGGTGTCCCGTAGGTGGTGATGGTAACGAATAAGTGTCTACTTCTAAAAACAAAAGGAAAAGCACAAACTAAACAACTTTGATTCGTAACAAAACGAGGGGCAGATATGCCGTATGTCCAGGAAGGGTCCTGTGGGTGCACATGTAGGTGACTGCACGTCTATGCGGTTTCGAATGAACTGTTATAGTCACATGTGACAGAAGACAGTGTAAATCAACACAAATCCCGCTACTTACAGAATTTGAGCAACGGAACAAACTGGTTGGTCTGTTTCATTATTCAAGCACCTGAGTCTTGTATACCAATTCTTCCCATTTCTAAATATTTCTTACATATTCTACTAACGATAAATATGAATGTGTGAGGTCAGGAAACCACAAATGCTACATTTATGAGTTCATCAATTTTTGTGTCAACTGTGTGACTGACTTCTTTCCAAACCGTGAGGTCCTTGGCCCATCAGCTTCTTGGCTCTGTCACACCCTTAAATTCTGGTGATTGGACGTTTTTTAAATTAGGGAGTTCACTTTATTTCCATGATTTCCAGTCAGCTCACTGTGACTTTGGATTTTAGACCTTAAAGACATAACGTAACTTTCGACAGGTCCTTGATGGATGCTACGCTTGGCTTCAGTCTCTGGCCGTCCTCCTTAAGAATTACGAGTTGCCGAAGCTGTCAAGTTTCGAATTCTCAAAGACTGCCGCAGTTACACTTTCGAGCTAAAATTCTAGTGAAATGCAACATTTGGAGCATGGCTTTGCATGGGGCTGAAACTTGGACACTTAGCGCAGTAGATCAGAAACACGGAAAGCTTCGAAATGTGGTGTTGGAGAAGGATGGTGAAGATCAGTTGGACCGATTATGTGAGAAATGAAGAAGTGTTATTTAGAGTCAGTGAGCAGAGGAATATCCTACACGAAATAAGAAAACGGAAGGCTAATTGGATTGGTCATATCTTACGCAGTAACTGCCTTCTAAAAGAAGTTATTGAAGGAAAGACAGAGGGGCGGATAGAAGTGACAAGAAGACGATAGATGCTGGATGACCTTGGGAACAGAAGAGGATATTCTCATTTGAAGGAGAAAGCTCTAGATAGCATTAAGTGGAGGACCTGTTTTGGAAGAGACTGTGGACCTGTCGTCTGACAGATTACTGATGAATGAATGAATGAAACCTAATTAAATTTAAATGGGTGCATGGTTATGCGGTTACACATAGAACTACCTGGTAACAAGGTGAGGCAATACCCGACTCACGACAAATTTAACACTGACGCCGTAAACATATGAGAATGTTGTATCAAAGCCTACGCCGCTCATATTACGGAGTTACTGGATCTAACCAAAGCTTGGAATGTCTTGCATACGAGGTACCTAAAATCGTACCCAAGCTTCAGGAATTTAAAGAAACATATTAAAAAGGAAGTAAGTAAATTTATCCCTGTAGCAGACAGTGGAGACCCATTGGTTGTGACATGTCGAGGTTCCCACATTTTCTAGACAATCGGCTCATAGGTGGCTGTAACGATGTTAGCCTTACGCGCCGGCCGCCCTTTGCCCCTAAGAATATTCCTGGTACTCGTTTCTGTTAGACGCTGAGTCGACCCCAGGGCCATAGGGCGGCTGGAAGGATTAGGTAAATTGAAAAATCCACCTCTTCGGGATTCGATCCTGCGACCTTCCGGCTTGTGCCTCAACCAACTACGCAATCGCGTACTCCTGAACAACCTAATGAATATCCCCCAGTCTCAAATGGTTATGTAGTAATTCTGACCGCCTGTATGCAGACCTAATGGCGATTCAGCAGTAATTAATATGCATTTATATTGCACTGCGTAGATCTGACTTTGTGTGCTACTTATGTTAGTATTCACTCGTCTTCACCTCTTTATTGTATACCACTACATACGGTGGTCTAATTGGCCATCATCAGGTGTGTAAATTGTTATGATAAAAGAACCACGATAGCCGACCGCCAAGCAATAAGCTTCCGCTCCTACAAAAACATTCAGAACAGCCACACACACACTGAACCAAATAAAGATCAACAAGCCAACGAAACCGTAAGTAACATCAGATATGCAGAGACAGAATGTAGATAATATGACCCTTAAAATAAAATTCTAATATAACCCATCACATATTGCAGATAAACCAAATACGTGCATGGCAAAAGCATGATAACCGGCATAACCTAGAATAGTCCGAGGCATTTACAAAAAAGAAAAGCACAACAGCAATACAGCGAACAGTAGATTCCTTCTTCACAACAGCCTGGCACATAGACGACAAGGAGTGGAATAAAAAGTAATATATATCATTAAAATTGGAGGTTACTTGGAACAAATTCCGAATGGAGCACCATTTACTGTGACTCACGTTTTTTTTTTACATGTTTGCAGTGCTTCCAGGAAAATTTCTGAAGCGTGGCACTCCCTCGCCCCATCATATGCAGTTCACGGATAATGATAGTCCCGCCACGCAATTCGACGCCACATAAACGTTACTGTTCAGCAAGTAGAGCATCGGAAAACAAAGTTCGAACCGGTCGAATCATCCGACATACAAACTGAACACGCGAAATTTAGGTAGAGCATCTGTGTCGCAGTTGTGAGGTAGCTGGACATCCACAATACGAGACGTTGTTTCATAAATAGGCCTCGTTGCTGTTCTCTCGTGAATGGCTGTTACGTCATATCTCTTGGTCCCGTGTTGTGGAAAAAGTTTTGGACACTTGATTTTACTCGAGAGCTATATAGATATAATCTCGGGACGAAGATATACCCCGCAATATTATTTTGGATAAAAACTGTTAATTAATATGAATTAATTGTTACTACTGCCATAACATGATTCACAGTTGTACGAAGAATTCCGATCAGAACTCATATGTCTACCGTCCTGTTGCAGAGGTATCTTATACCACTCACACATTGTTATAATTGTAATTATTTTATGAATATTCTGTTCCATTTTGTGAACAAGTTATGCAGATTACGTAACGTTCCATTTGTCGGGTAGGATGACGCTTCTAAGAAATTTTTATCGAAATTAAGCGTGAATACTGCAAGTATAAAACTATTCTTTATTTCAGGATGTTAAACTATTGAACTCTAAACGTACACCCACAGGAAACCGTACTGTGTCTACGTTTGCAGGAAAACACTCTCTGTAAGTTGACGAAACATACTGTAATAAGTTGACAGCTCAATGATAATGCCACTTGATCACACCCGTAAATTCATGGCAGAAGAGTCATCATGTCATCACACTTTGCCAGTGAAGCACCCTATCGAGCGTATCTATACACCTTATTGCATACAGGAAATATCGATTGCGGTCCTTCCACGTGGTTGCTGAAACTTTCCTCCCTCATTTCATTTTCATCCTCTGAAGAGTTCGTTATCATGTCAGTAACCATGTCTTTCGTCCTGTCAATTATTGCTCTGCTTTCGGAGGGGTTTTACTTTCAGCTGAGTACGAATTCGCTAATTTTCTTGGAGTGGTACTAGTTTTTGGGCTTGGCTCGGTCCAGCATCTTGTGACTCCAACGTACCACACGTCGTGGATGTTGAAACTGCCTGTAGACTAATGGATTGACAGCGAAGCTGATTCGCCTATTATAGATACCAGATGGCGTCAGTTAGCTGAAGGCAGAATTTCGGATATATAAAATGTATGAGGTGTCTTCAGAAGTTGCGTGCCACTGCGACTTTCAATTACTGCACGCGACGTGACCCCAAACTGAAACAACGTAAAATACAGGAAAGGAAAGCCAACAGGAAAAGACGCCTTAATCTTCTTACTTCTTCTGCCTTCTTTCTTAATGACCTTCGTCTACAATCCCCCTTTTATCTACTTATAGGTACCAATTTGCTATCTGATCATCTGTATGCATGTCAGTTTTATTCTGAACCCTCTTTTTTTCTTTCTCCGTTTTGTTCGTTGTTCGTTTATTCTCACATCTTCGTCACTGTGTGTTTTAAATGCCGTGCTCGCAACTCCTGTCCATCTCACAACAGTCATTACTTCTTCCATTCCACTCCTCCAAAGTTCCGATTTCCCTTACACGCTGAAGAGTACGGTCGTATTAATTGATTCAGACAAACGAAATTCTAAGCGGAGCAGAAAACGCTTTTTCTTCTTATTCTCCTGAATAAGGGTTTGAATCATGATCTGTTTCCAGACTACAGGAACTGTTGTGCCATCTTTTTCTTGGACGTCCAGTGTCCCTTCGGAAAACTCCTAACTCTGTCATAATACGCTGATACTGTCCATGGTACTTACTACACCAAGAGCTGTGAACCGATTCTTCACCAGTAATCTCGAAATACACTTACACTGAAGTAAATAATCGTCCAGCCCAAGCGTCGGACTTCGGATTTCCAACAACTCAAGGTAAAAAAGCCAGCACATTACGAAACGTCAGAAAGGGAATATAACTGAGCCAGGATAAGTAGAGAATGAAGTGGAATAGTTTTAGATAGGACCGAATTACACGCTAATGAAACTACGGGATCCGTTATAGAGATGCAGGAAATTCGTTGTAGGATTTGAAGTTCTCACACTGGTGGTTATGAAGACTTCCATCTTCTGGGATATAACGCCGTGTAGTCCGTTGAAAATAAGTCTACGTTTGCAACAAATCGGCATGTTA